TGGGTATAACACTTCTAGTTACATAATGATTTTTAAGTTCTGTTCATCCAGATTTTTTATCCTCAAATTTCCATATTTGTCTTGTATAGGACTAGTATATTGACAATGAGATGGTGTGCGACTACACAGGTACATCTATCTTGGTTTGATAACTATCCTGGGACACCAGGAGGAAGGAGGGCAGCTGCCAAACCTTCAGGATCCCAAATGTCTATATAAGTGACATCATTATATCTTTCGTTCCGTAGGCTCGGAGACTAGGGAAAAGACTCATCAGGTATAACTATGGATCCCAGGGCAAGCTAGTTTTGTATGCACGAAACATCTAAGGTGGCAATTTGGTTTTAATTCCTTATACACGGTTCAATGTTGACCACGGTTCCAGTGCGGGTTGTGCTCTGCATCCCCCTGCTGTTTTCAGGAGAGCTACCTCTATACCTACATGGCGCTGAGTGTGAGGAGGCGTGTAAATACATCGGTATAGAGCTGCTTCGTGGGGCCAATTTCACTCTTCAGTGCAGGTGTTGTTACTCCCAACATCTTTAGGGGGACATATGGTATCCAGGACGATGAGGTGTTTGGTGTTGCCATGAATGGGGCATACAGGAATCTTCGTTCAAACTGGGAATTCCACGTCTAGTCCATGTGACGAGATTCCCAAGACGATGCGTCTTGCCCGCCCACTCCAGTGCAATTTGAACTGACGCATCTCGCCACTTTACATGGGTTAAGATTCGTAATGTCCATTTGAGGCAGGATGAGGTGAAATCAGGTCAGGTTTTCGAGGATATGGGACCGTACATCTGGACAACAAGGGCAAGCGGACGGCTCGGTGATATATGTGGGCCGTCTGGAGGGAACCTTTTCCCTGAAGATGGCTCTGGAGACTTCCATGCAGTCTTAAGTCGTGTTGGGGACTTCAGGACACAAGTTATGGTATTGTACGCTGGACAGAGTCGTACGTGAAGGTTATGTGGGCGCGTACGACCATATTTGCAGCAGCATATGAGAAGCTGAGGAGGGCGCCTGCACAAAAACTAATGTGAAGCACCAGTTACAGTGTGTGGCAGTGTTGTTGAGAGCCCCACACAAAAGCAAGGGCTTGGGGCGCTTGTGGTGTGAAGTGGTAGAGGATTCCATAGAGGAGACTGGACGCGTTGTGTGACGGCAAGTGTGACATAACACGAACTGATACTAGGTAGGAGAAAATGCAGAAGTGCAAGTGCAGGAGGAGGAGTGTACAGGCTCTTCTAGGAAGAGCTTCAGGAAGTGTTGAATCTGTCGGCCGCCTGCAGGGGATGTTGTTCTTGAGTGGTACGAGGCACGGCATTGCCTGTGGAGAAATGTGATGATAAAAACCATAGCAGGGATGACGGGCCCAAGCAGTAAGTGTGAGATGTAGCCGTGTGCCGTGGACCGGGGCGTGGTGGAGGGTTGAGGTTCATCGTGAGGGAACCTCAGAAGACAACATGGAATTGGAGGGAATCATGAGGAAGAGAGTGGCAGCGTCAGATGTCAGGACTCGGATGATGTTCTGACGCCGGCGCAGAGGTCTGGAGGAAAGGAAGAGGAGAGTACTGTCGAGAGGTAGCAGGATAAGAGGCATCGCAAGAAAGATAGATAAGATTAGAAAGATTTCGTTCGGATTTTAACCCCGGAGGTTAGCCACCAGGTAACCCAGAAAGTCAGTGCGTCATCGGAGGACTGTCTAACTTATTTCCATTTGGGGTCCTTAATCTTGTCCCCCGGATGCGACCCACCCAGTCGACTAAACACCCCAGGTACCTATTTGCTGTAGGTGACAGGACAATAGGTTAAGAAACTTTGGGGAAGGGTTGATGCGTTGTGAAGCCTGTGCTGGCTCTAGGGCAAGGGAGGCCCTGGGATGAATGAAGAGAGGAGGAAGGGTGGAAACTACAAGAGGCTTAGGTGTATGACATTGAACGTAAATGACTGAATGTATAGTGTGAATAGGAATGGTTTTTCGAATGTTTCTGTGTAAAATATAGGGTGGATGTAGTGTTCCTGCAAAGAACACAATTCAATTAGGGATAGATCTGGAGGAGGTGGGGTTTCAGGTCATGGACTGCCATCTGCACGCTCAAAGGTTGTTAGTGGGGTATTGATTAGGTATTTAGTCCCGTTTTATTTAAACGAATTGATTGGAGTTAGTTAGTTTTAGGTGTTATTCTTTATTAATTTTTTTTTAAGTTTCATTTTAAACCTTTTAACTATATATTTCACCATCTTATAACCTCATATAAATAACATCATTAAATATAATTTCATACTTATTTAACTACAACTTTTAATCCCATATTAATTTCAACTATTTATTTTACTTTACCCATATAAAAACTTATTTCATAAAATTAACCAACATTTTCTTTTCCATACTTATATTGTGCAACCTATCCACATTCTTTCACAACCCAATCTTTAATCTTAATTCCAAACAACCCAAACACGTGTCGTGTGAGCACTACTTGTGATGCACATAACGCTATATAGTCCATGATATGAGTCGGAAAGTGTACTAGTCATTAATATATCATGAATGATAGACTGAACTCGGAAAGAGAACACTGCTGCCCAGTAAATTTCAGTGTGCTCCTCTCTACATCATCATCAGCTAGACGCGAATACACTCTTCGTCCCTATGTGCTCTGTCCGTGCATAATTGGAATGCTATCTCCACCAAGAGCGTCGCAGACGCATACTCTGCGCGCAGCCGCTCAGTGACAAGAGCACATTTGTAGCGAACAGAATCCGTGTCCTTTCAAGATGTATTGTATATGACTATCTGGCCGCAGACGCGTCTGTCCGGTGCGGCTCTTGTGAGACTATAACTCCTGATATGAGAGTCGGGTTTAAGTGCGCACTCGATAAAAGGTCTCTCTCTCGCTCATGTGTCGATGTCCGGCATTCCCTAAATTATGATATCTTTTGGTGTGGAGAGTAGCGCGCTAATAATCGAGACTAGCTAGAGCGTCTATAAATAGAGTAGAGACTAGGTGATGCACTGCGCTCTGTCAATTATCTCAGAGAAGATACTACGTTCATACTCACTCTGAGCGACGCAGTCAACCTGGAATCCTCAATATGTGTCGGAGCCCCAAACGGAGAGAGATGATTCGTGAGTTCCTCTCGAGTGCTTGTTATGTCGCGTAGAAGGGTCACATCGCTGACACGGTCCACTCCAAAATCGAATAGTTACCTCCTCCATACTCTCTCCTCATCTGGGAGCTGCAACTGTGATTGTCATGTTATTCGCTCTGTATCTATCAAGTTAAATGTGAATACTAGAAAATGGACTCAAGACTCCGATGGAGACGAGGTGAAAAAGAGAGCGATCCCGATTGACTCCAGCGTAGAGAAATGGAGCGGAGTCAAGCTTGTACCATGTAAGAGAGATTCCCGAGATCAGAGCACTAGTGTAGTGTCGCTGATAGATGTGTACAAGTCTCTTGCTATAGAGCACAGTGTCATCAGCAGAGAGCAGCTGTGACAGCTCCCACTTTTGTGTGTGATTCTTTTTCTTTTAACTCACGCCTCTTGCCAGGGACCTCGCATTACTTCTCTTACAACCTTTATAAATATATTAAACAACCACGGTGACATCACACATCCTTGTCTAAGGCATACTTTTATGGGAAAAAATTTCCCTCTTACCTACATACTCTAAACTTGAGCTCACTTTCCTCGTTATAAAACTCTTCACTTGCTTTCTAGTAACCTACCTCCTACACCCTACACCTGCAACATCTGCCACATTGCCCCCCTATCCACCCTGTCATATGCCTTTTCCAAATCCATAAATGCCACAAAGACCTCTTTAGCCTTATCTAAATACTGTTCACTTATATGTTTCACTGTAAACACCTGGTCCACACACCCCCTAAATAAATATCAGCGCATTCATGAATGCACATTAGACCTTCCAGCTGACGTGTATTGAACGTGTGATGTGATTTGTTTTCTCTTAAACATCGGCAAAAATCGAACATTTCCGCTATTTTGAGCTCGATTTCAAGCTATTTTCAGTACAAAAACCAGTCAAAATCGTCTCTTATTTCTGTAATATATCTTCCGTTCTATCAAATGAGACCAAGAAACTGCGAATAAAACTGTTAAAAAATGCACCGCAAAGTCTCTGTTAGTCCAAAAACATGGTCACTGTTTTTTTTCCTCCTTATGCACTGCGTGTTGCAGGATTTGTTTTATATGGCGCACTCTGATCACATACTAGATGCATTCTCTCGTATCGTATCTAGGGCCAAATTTACCATTCAAACTATCTGAGTGAGCTGAGTCATGATGTAGTTCTGGCTTGGACCCTGGTATTGATAGCCGTAGGAAACTATGGACAGACCCTCAAGAGGTAAGCATGGTGTGAATATTGCAGTGTGGAGGAGTGCAAGGCAGTAGAGTTGCACGTTTGAGGGCAAGTGTGTGGATGTATATGAGAAGAATTTGTAGATTGGAGATTGGTGGTGTGGGGTTATTCAGATTATTATCCAGAGGGTCGAGATGGTTTGGACATTGAGGGGAGGGAGTAAAATAAGTTGACTTGGAAGGTGTATAAATCTTAGTAGAGAGAGAGTGGGGTATGGGTTGTCCTGGAAAGATTGAGGAGTAAATGAGGTTTTGTGTGCAAGGGGCTTGGACATACAGCAGGGATGTGTGTGTGTTAGGAGAAAGTGGAGACATGGTTTTTGGAACCTGATAAGCTGTTGTAGTGTGAGCAAGGTAATTTTTGCGAAGGGATTCAAGGAAACCGATTAGCTGGACTTGTTCTGGAGGTGGGAATAATAACAATGCTGACACTTTGTAGGCGGGGTTTTTGGGATATTTCTCGACTGTGTGGAGGGACATCTAAGCTGTCATATCTGTGCACCTCTGGCAAGACAGTGATAGTGTGAACGATGGCGAAAGGGTTTGATTTTTCGGTCACCCTGCCTTGGTAGGAGATGGCCAGCGTATTAAAAAAAAAAAAGAATGTAATATACTTTTGAATTTCACACAGCAACAGCACTTCCTGTATATATGCAGCAAACCTCTCAGCCTGCTGCAACTGTAGCTGCTGTTAAGACTACGGGCAATACATGGCAGACTTTCAAGAAGCCTGGGACTATGCAGGGCAAGACACAAAAGCCTAAGGCACCACCAAAACCACAGCAGCTTCACTACTGTGATGTTTGTAAAATAAGCTGCGCAGGACCGCAGACATACAGAGAACACCTGGAGGGTCAGAAGCACAAGAAAAAAGAAGCTGCTGCAAAGGCTGGACCAACACCATCCCGACATGGAGCTTCACTGCGTTGTGAGCTCTGTGATGTTACTTGTACCGGTGCTGATGCATATGCTGCCCATATCCGTGGTGCCAAACATCAGAAGGTAAAAAAAAAAAAAAAAATTGCATGCACAAACTGCAGTGGAATGTATTTTAAATAGGAAACAATTCATATGAAAAGCACATAGAGGACAGGCATGAAATACACATTTAGTTCTTTTGTTCATTGTTGATGGTTAATTGTAAACAAGTGGCACCCATAAATTGGGAAGCAGGTTGTTAATAGATTTAATAAGTCCTAATGTTTGCAAGTAGGATATTGTAAAACTTTTCATAAATAAGTATGGTGCTCCTACAAATTGAGTTATGTTCCTAGGGGTCTGCAAAATTAAAACACAATTGTATTTTAAATTTCAATAATTCTTGATTAAGAAATATCAAACAAACAGGAACCCACCAAACAGGCACATGCTAAAGATGAATGCATTTGATCAAGTATGAGAGAAAATAAATTTGAAGTGTCAGTTGTTTACATGCAATTGGCAGTGGCATACTAGCCCATCCGCAACCTCCCTCCCCATCCCTCCATCTCCTCTACATAATTCGACCTCTATCATAAACAGTCTTTTAGAGAAATTAAATGTGTGGTATAGCGTGACTTGTAAATGATCCGAGTCTGACCGAAACGTTGTCATAAACTTCTCTTCTGTGTTCAGGTTATTTGTTTAGTGTAAAGTACAGTGGTACCTCGGGATATGAACAGCTCAAAATGTGAACAATTATGTAAGTGTATTTTTGCGGGTCTGAAACGGACTAATCTAATTTACCTTATTTCTTATGGGAACAAATTCGTTCGGTATCAGCACTCGAATAGCCTTCTGGAATGAAAAAGGTTCATATCCCGAGGTACCACTGTATTATGTTTATTCGCATATAAAAAAAAAAGTGTTGGAGAGTGAATTATTATTAATGGGCTGAAGCTACAGGCATCAGCTGTGATCAAACAAGAGCTTAGGTGGGCCACCACTGCCTCATTTATTATTTCTTTTGCCTTTAATAACAGCTGTTACTAAATTACAAGTCTTGCCTACAACTGTCTTTGATAAATAATGCAAAGAAGAGAAATTACTTACGGAAGTTATTGGCAGTATGGGGAGGGGAGATGGCATACATTCTTCTCCTACCACATGATTGTATCAGACCCAATCATAAATAATAGCTGGATAGGTAATTCAGCTTCTAGTTTGGGAAGCTATTCCGTATGTGAAGTAATTCTTTATTTGGATATAAAAAAAGCCACTAAACTGGTAAGTAGTGTAGCAAAGTAAACTTAAAATTTCATTGATTTTTGCAATGCACTTAGCAGTATTCTGTCGCTTGTGAGGGAGGTAGGCATCAAGGAGAGATGACATTATTGTTCTTGCTGCATTTTTCCCATTTGCACAGTTTCTCTCTGCCAGTCACCACCATGGGCACTTGTTATAGAATACATGCTGAGTAGAATACATGGAAATGTTAAGAGAAGAGGAAGCTAGTAGACATTACTACAGTGTGAGGTTTTGTGTGGTGGAGGGAGAGTTGGCTGGCCTGTGGCCGGGCTCCAGGAGTAGAAAAACTCGGGATTGCTGAAAAAACTGGAGTGTTTTATCCAAATTTTGTGCATCATAATATTGCAAAATTGAGTTATGAATCCCCCTTGAAAACCTGTGGATAACTGAATCTTATTTGTGGGTTGCCCTTCAGTAAAAACATTAGGTAATTGAAATCTTTTTATAAGATTGTCTTTGAATTTGTGTGGATGACTAAACTACAAATTTACTTTTAGCCTGGATAATTAAACCTGTATATTTGTTGAAATTTGAGTTTAATTTGTTTTCTATGCAGGTTGTGAAGCTACATCAAAAATTAGGCAAACCAATTCCATCAACTGATCCTGTTGTGGTTGGAGGGACAACCAAGACATCAACTACTACTGCTGGAGCTACTGTGGGTGCAAAGACCACTACAAGTGGAGCTGCTGCTACCACAGGTACTCTCACTGCAGCAGATGGCAAAAAGGATGACCTGAAGGATGATCTGTTAGACCTCAAGGAGAAAGATGTTGAGCCAGTTGGACAGGAATACATAGAAGAAATTAAAAATGAAGAAGGTATTTATAAATGCTCTTCAGAATATTTTCAGTTAGCTATTATGTTGCAAGATTGTCCAATTGAAATGGTTAATCTACAGTAAATTAGCCTTTTATTGCTTAATCCTTTCATTTTGTATGTTGGCTATTTTCCACCATGGTGACCCAAGGAAACACTGGAAATGGTGAATATATTGGATAGATTTCAACTGGTAATGTTTCTTTCATTGAAGGCAAAGTGATAAGCTTCAATTGCAAGCTCTGCGAGTGCCGTTTCAATGATCCTAATGCCAAAGAGATGCACATGAAAGGCCGTCGTCACCGCTTGCAATACAAGAAAAAGGTTAATCCAGAGTTAGTAGTGGAAGTAAAGCCATCTTTGCGCCAACGCAAAGTTCAAGAAGAAAAGTTGCGTCGCCAGCAGTAAGATGCTTTCTCGTTTGTATCATTGTACTCGTCAGGGGCTCAAAAAACCAAACATCTTCAACCATTTTTTCTTACTGTTTCATTGTGGTTCGTTAAGTGCTCCTTGCCTTCTAGTACTACTACTTGCTACTACTACTTGCTACTACTACTTGCTACTACTACTAACTACTACTACTAACTACTACTACTAACTACTTACTACTAACTACTTACTACTAACTACTTACTACTAACTACTTACTACTAAACTACTTACTCCCACTACTACTAACTACTTATACTACTACTAAACTACTTAACTATTACTACTAACTACTTACTACTTAACTACTCAACTACTTACTACTTTACTACTTAATACTAATACTTACTACTACTACTAATACTTACTACTACCACTTGCTGCTGGCTACTTACGAACTTGTTGCTACTACTACTACTACTACTTGTTGATGCTACTACTACTACATTGTTGCTGCTGCTGCTAATACTACTACTACTACTACTACTACTTGTTCTGAATGCTACTACTACTACTTGTTGCTACTACTATACTAATACTTGGTTGCTGCTGCTGCTGCTACATACTACTACTACTATTGTTGACTGCTGCTGCGTACTTACTACTAATACTACTACTTGTTGCTGCTACTACTGCTTACTACTACTTGTGCTGAGCTAATACTACTATACTTGTTGCTGCTACTACTACTACTTGGTTGTCTTGCTACTAATACTACTTGTGCTTTGCCTGCTACACTACTACTACTCTTGTTGCTACTATACTACTACTAGTTGCTGCTACTACTTACTAGTAATTGATTGCTGCTGCTTCTTACTACTACTACACTATACTAATTATCTACTATATACTAATTAATACTATACTACTAATTACTACTACTACTAATTAATAGTGTACTATATATATGTAGTTTTTCCATTAATATGTACTACATATTTCATATATGTAGGACGGTTCTGGAATCACTGCTATTATATTAAGGACTGTTATATACAACAAACTAGTACAGCAACAACAAAATCTAATTTGTTAGATTCTAATTGCATCACATAATGGGTTTTGGTTATAAATATGCTTTCCGCATGTTGCATCATGGGTTTGTAATGTACTTATTGTTTGGTTGGAACTCTATTTGTATGTCAGTTTCTTGCGCTGATGTATTCTAATTTACAAAAGTTTTCATGGCAGCATGTTCTCCTACTGTCATTATGAAATTTTAACCAGTTTGTGCCTTATGTCACTTGCTGAAAACCAACTTTTGATTGTTGAAACAGATGGAGGCTGAACTTGCAGGAAAAGTCCAGACTAACTATCTGTTGCTGTACGTGTCATCGATTAGAAGTTTGACTTGCTGATAGTGACATAACTTTCTGTGCAGACTCTAGTTGAACTGGTTAGATCCTTTTGAGTCCCAGTAGGTAAATTGCATGACATTTAAGAGCATATGTTTTTCTATTGGAAATAATTTTCCTAATACTGTATTTCTTGAAACATTTGGTGCTAATTTTCCAATTAGTGCTAGCTAACTAATTTGCTACATTTGCAAGATTATAATAAATATATTTGTAAATGAAATCAAATTAAAACCTTTATTTTTATTAAGCAAAATATTTGTGAAAATTGTATGACATTTCAGGTATTGTAGCTATAGTTGCACTAATAAAGGGTAATATGCAATTGCAAATAATTTTTGAAAATTGAAGTACAGTATGGAATTAAAGAAATTTTTGAAGTCGCAAAAACCAGTACAGTATTATGTATAAACGTTTAACTTTTTATTGTTGATGATAAATACGTACATTGAATATCTTAATTTGGCAAACAGTGATGAGATGAGATCAGGAGTGGCACTGTGTGTAGCTATCTCCACAGCACAACAAAGAGGTCATGGACAAGGTGTGCATATATTACCAAGTCTTGTATTAAAATATTTATATGTAAAATAGCTCTCCATATATAATGCCATTTTCAGTTTCTGGTATACTACACGGAAAATGACATTATGTATGGAGCATTATTTTATACAGTGGAACCTCAGCTTATGAATGCCCCACCGTGTGAATTTTTCAGGATACAAACCATTGTTCGGTAGATTTTTTGCTTCTGGATACGAACGAAATTTCAGGATGCGAACTTCCCCCTCAAGGGAGGTTCCATAAATAAATAAATATTTCTTTGCAAAGGTTACAATATGTGTTTACATATCATAATATGATTGGAGCAAAGAAAGCCACTAACATGCCAAGGCATTTCGAGCAGACTTAATCTAATACTAATAGACTACTAAGTCTAGACAGGTGAAAAGTGTACTAGTAGTGGTTACCAATGTTTTGCTGATGGTGGCACCAGCTTCTGGCAGCCTTTTGAAGTTTCCACTTAGTGTTGTTATTGTTATTATTATTATTATTAGTGGTAGTATTACTGTTATATTGTATTATTATTATTCTTTCTTTAAACGTACCAGCCGTATCCCACTGAGTTGGAGTGGCCCAAAAGGAAGAACGAAAGTTTCTCCTTTTAAATTTAGTAATGTATACAGGAGATGGGGTTACTAGCCCCTTGCTCCCAGCATTTTAGTCGCCTCTTATGAGACACATGGCTTATGGAGGAAGAATTCTGTTCCACTTTCCTATGGAGAATTTTGTCTTGTATTGTACAAATTTCTTACACAATGCCTTGCCCAAAGAGACAGTATTTGCGTATATCAACCAGCATGGAACAAGTCAGGAAGCGTAACTCTGAAAAAGCTAGAGAAACGAAGATGGCAGCAGCATAGTGAGGCAGCTGGCTGCCACCACCACACCACCACTGTGGCTGCCGGCGCCGCCACAACCACCAGTGTGGCCGCCACCACCACCACCACTGTGGCCACAGTGATCATGTCTTCACCTATATATACATCTGTCTCTGACCACACTTGTGGTTACAATGTGACACCCTCCACCATTAATCATAGTTAAAACACAAGCTAGGTGTTTGGGTTAAGTGACGGGAGATTATTAGTGGAGGGAGTAAATTGAGGATGTTTCTGCCGCTGCCGGCGTCGCCATCCTTGCGCATTATGGCCTATTTTTTATTCTTTCTAGGGTATATCATGTTTTTATGTTATTAATATTGCTTATTATGTCATATTAGATGCATCGTGATAGATAACTAAGCCGTAGAGTTGATACTAGCATTTTGTCATGCCTCCTGAGAGGCTGGAATGGATTATTTGCAATTCAATTACAGTGGAAGCTCTACTTGCGAGCGTGTCCACGTGCGAGTTTTTCCAAATATGAACAGTCGATGGGTCGATTTTTTGCTTTTATAAGCGAGCAGACCTCAAGACAGGTTCCTTGACACTGGTGAGGGGCTCTTGCTCTTGATCTCAGGAATTGTATCTCATTTGTTTGTTGGACTATCTTATTGAAACTTGGGCAATGTATGATGGAAATATGCTTCTTAATGTACACCAAAAATGAAAGAAATCTAAGCATAAATAATGGAGTTCATTTCTCAGAAATTTGTCACCACTTAGTATATTCGAATGGTTTTTATGGTTGTATTCTTTTTTTTTTGTCTCATTTGATAGAATGGAAGATATATTACAGAAATAGATATGATTTTGATTGCTTTCACAACGAAAAGTACCTTGAAATTGAGCTCAGTGTAGGAGAAATGGTCCATTGCTTGGCTATGTTTAAGAGTAAACAAATTACTTAACTGTCCATTCCAATATGCAGTCGTGAATGGGTTGACATTATTTATACAATTATTGCAATAAGAAATAATAATAATAATAATATGTATGATAATATAATAATAGTAATATAATATGCATAATAATAATGTATAATAATGTACTACATATAATAATTATAATAATAGACGGCTTTAGAAGGCTGTCACTAGATGGCAGTGTTTCCCACAACAAAGAGGGAGCGGTTGTGGCCGCCTCTACCTGTTACTTAACCCTTTGAGGGTTTTCGTCGTACTAGTACGTCTTACGAGTAGGGGTTTTTGACGTACTAGTACTCATAAATTCTAGCGGCCTCAAATCTAGTGGGAGAAAGCTGGTAGGCCTTCATATGAAAGAATGGGTCTATGTGGTCAGTGTGCACAGTCTAAAAAAAATCCTGCAGCACACAGTGCATAATGAGAAAAAAAAAACTTTGACCATTTTTTTTTAATAAATCAGCGACTTTGCAGTGTATTTTCGTATGGTATTTATTGTTGTATTCTAGTTTTCTTGGTCTCATTTTATAGAATGGAAGACATATTACAGAAATGGAGATGATTTTGACTGGTTTTATAAAGAAAAGTGCCTTGAAATTGAGCTCAAAGTAGCAGAAATGTTCGATTTTTACCAAACTTCAAAAGTAAACAAATCGTGCCAAGCGTGCAATACACGTCAACTGGTGAGTCTAATATTCTTTCACAAGTGCACCAATAATATTTATACCATTTTTTACACTAATGCAGTAGTCTGCATAACAGTAAATCTTCTATTTTTTGTGAGAATAAAAATTCAAAGTGGAAAGCAAAAGAATATAAGAGGGGCCTTGAGACGTGACTAATGACCAGAGGAAATGTCATTTTAGTGCCAGGAATGTGTTTCTTGTTTATTCTGGACCCTATTCGGAAATTGGCATCTTTTGAAATTTGTGGGGAAATTGGCAAAATTGCTAAATTCTGACCACTGTACTGGATAGTTGAATTTCATAAATGAGTGGTTTCTTGCACCCATTCGATAGAAAAAATGGAGTTCTAGCGAAATATTCATGTTTTTTGTCGACTAGTACAGTGAAATTGGCCGAAAATGGGGCTCAAAGTGGGCAAAATCGCCGATGCGTAAACATCGCCGAGACCGCTAACTTTGCGAGAGCATAATTCCGTAAGTTTTCTATCAAATTTCAAACTTTTGGTGTCTTTATGATCGGGAAAAGATTCTCTATTCTTTTCATAAGAGAAAATAATTTTTTTTTTTTTTT